CCTTTTTTTCTGGGCTCAAATTTCGACTTCCGGTGTGTTGGCAGCACTGTCGGGTTGCCCTAGAACACTTTCGAACAGACGGGGTACCCGTGGCAGCCGAGACAAAAAAGGTCTCAGCCTCCGAAGTCGCCTTGGATGCTGTTTGTGGCGTTGTGTTTTTTATTGCCAAGACGTGTCTGGGGGTCATTAGGGTGTGGGGGATACACCCAGGAACAGTGCCTGACTGCGTTTATTTCATTTTGGCCCCATCTGCGCTGAAAAAAAATAAAAATATAAAAAAATCGTCGAAAGTCGATTCCGTGTAAGGTTGGATGGGTTGGTTGGCCAACTGGTTGGCCAACTTCGCTTACGTGCCCGACCCCTGGCGAACGGAGTTACCGGCGCAGCGAAGCGGAGCTGGCAACTCCGTTTGACGGAAGGGCGGGCCTGCTTGTTTTTGGGTACTTTTGTGAGAAAGACTCCGTTTACCGTCTCAACGGTGAGAGATCGGGACGAAATTTTAGCCCTAAGGGCTTTACTTTCTCAAGTTACCCCTTTGGTTGCCAGGATTTGCACCAACCGTTTCGTCGTCCAGAAGTGACAACAATAATACCCTGAAAATTTCAAACCTCTAGCTCACGTCCTTCTTGGGAAACGGACAGACGGACACAGGGGCGATGGCATAGGCCCGCTTATGTAGCTTTTAAGCAAAAGAGCGGGCTAGAAACGAAAGCCGGCAAGGCGCCCGCGCTGTCCCCCCCCCCCCCCCCCCCTCTCTACTAGACGGAGTGGGGGGCAGGCGGGGAGGAGTGCGGGCGCCTTTCCATCTGCCGTTTTTTGTTCTTATTGCTTCCACTCCGCGCTCCATTGGAATACCCTATTTCCACACGGATATTGATGGTCTCTGGTGCGAGAGACGTTGATATTTACGACAGGCCTTTTTTCCCAACTAGGGTGTCAGCGCCGCAGGCCCAGGTAGATGTACGCATCTACGAATCTAGACATTTATCTGTAATCAATTTTCCCAGAAGATTTGAAACGCCATTTGGTGGCGAACGCTGGCAACATCGACTTTAGCTTCCCGTCCTTCTATTTCAAAATGAGCGCATTCTTATTTTTTTGTACTTATCTATAGGGTACAGTCATTTCTGGATATTCTTCCCCGCGATTCTCTTCCATCCCCACCACTCCGGTGAGGCGGTCGAGAGCCGGCTGAGTGTGACAGGTGACGAGTCGCCCCGACGGCCGGCGGGCCGGGGATTAGTGACCCTTGGGGAATGGTCCGAGCTGGGCCGTTCGACTGTTCCGATCAAAGTATGTTCCCTGGAAACCCGAGTGTGTACTTAAACGCAGGAAATACTGCGTACTTGTTGGTATTCAGTATTTCCTGCGTACTTGTTGGTATTCAGTATTTCCTGCGTACTTGGCCATGTATTCAGCATTTGCTGCGTACTTGGTTAAGTACGCAGGAAATACTGAATACATGAGTAGGTACTCAGATCACAAGGGATACCTGGGTCGACATCACAGTATTAGTGCGGGAAGTAATATTTTTAATGAAATGTTGATGGTAATACTAAATACGATTCAAAGTAAAATAATTTGTTATAGAAAACTACTCAAATTTGTAGTAAATATAGCACAGATTTTCTTGTTGCAGTTTCTAACAGCTTCTGATTATTATTATTCTTATATTTTATCAACGTAATTTCGCTTTGAGTGAAAATACTAGAGGAGTAATTATTCGCACTCCGCGCTAGTGTTGATGAATTTCGCATATCGGCCTGTTGCTGTTTTTGTCAAGCTCGAGTAGAGCAGAAGACAATGTTTCTGTTTTTCAAATCCGTTGAGTCATTTCACTTTCATTACTGACTCAAAACCAATCATACTTGTTAAGAAACTGTGGTTTAGCTATCCCTTATCATCCAAAGAAATGGTGCCTTTCAGTCAACACAACCCAGAACATCTGTATACTACAACATGGTTTTTCTTTGGTGCATAAATCAAGACTGCAGGTGGCCCTTGCAATGCAGAGGTTAGGAGAGATATGGTGAGTTGATTGAGTTGCAAAATGCACACAACAGGAGAAATTAATAAAAACAGTTAGAGAGGGGAGGCATTTTCTTCCATACAAATTTTATAAAGATTCTATTCTCTTAATTTGCTGAACTGTTCGGCCTCCAGTCGCAACTTATTGAGAGACATACACGCAGAAAAATAAAATTCGGTTCCGTGCAAATCGGTTTAACTGCACAATTTTACACCCGTGCAAAAAAGTTAGCTGTGTGTAAAACTATTTAGCTGTAGAGCTAAGTGACATAAGTTACACGGTTAATAAACGTTGTGGTTTACTATGTGGCTATAAAATTAGCCCTGGTGCTAAATAAATTAGCCCAGTCTATTCAGTTAATTTAAGGAGGGGGTTCATTTGATATTCTTCCGAGTTGAAGCCCAAAACGAGGAAGAAAATCGAGAAATGACTGTACTCTGGGGCTCGGCTAGACCGGTAGGGAAGAACAAAAATCTGGAAGTAGGGTAAGGAGCCCTAATGTGGCCACTGTCCATTGATGGCCACTTTGCTCGATTTCCAGCCAATCTGGTCACTTTACAATCTTGGCCTTGAAGTAGTGTTCTAGTAAGGTCCCTACTTAGGCATAATAAGATAAACTTCTTCACATCGTTGTTTACATTACAAGAAAAAGGGGTGGCCATCATTGGGCACGCCTATTCTTAAGGTGGCCATCATAGGGCATCTTACCCTATATTTAACTTCTTCTAGGTCTAGTCTTAGTGTGGATACAGAGTTCACGAAACGCAATCGTGATTCTCACGCAAAGTGCGATTTTTCACGCCAGGCGTGATTTTCACTTTTCGTAAGCTTCACACAGCCAAGCAGGAACCGACTTTCATCACGTCTGGCGTGAAAATCACGCCAGGCGTGAAAATCACGCCAGGCGTGTAAATAACGCTGGGAACTCCGTATCCACTTTTATGTACCTTTTCATAGATGTGTTATTGGATTCATAAGCTAACATCAATAACTTTGAAGGGATTTTGCGTAACTTGCATGTATTCTACAAACTACGGCACACACAGCCAAAGATGTTTAGCGTATGAAAAGAATGCTTCGTTTGTTGAGTTTTGATTACGAAGTAGACAGACGAAGTAGACAGCAAAGGTACCTGGCAAAAAGATGGTTCAAAGCGAGCCGTCACGCAAACGGGCCAAAGGCCTGTTTTCCGACAGAAGATGTATTACACCGTGAAAACTCCGAAGGCCAAGCTAGGACCGCTCCCTGCCGAACGGAGTTGGCGGAAGAGCGGGCGTAGCTTGTTACAGCACCAGTTTTGATATAACGCATGTTATTAAAATTAATTACAAAAATTTATGAATTTAAAGAACATTTTTGTCAGGTACAGTCATTGTCCCTAAATTCGGACGGTTTTGGAGAAAAAATCGCCTCTGACGTTTAGAATTTTTGAAATATGAAAAATCGCTGGGGATTCTAGAATTGTCACGTCGAGACGCATCTACCACTCTCCGAAAATATTTTTTCGTGCTAACGGTATATGGGTGAGGGCTGCTGTTTGAATCGTGTCCGTATTTAGGAACCAATGCGTTCTAAATTCGGACGGCTTTGAAAAATTATGAAAAGTGAACATTTTTTGGGAGGTGTCGAAACTTCATGAAAAACTTGACATTACCCTACCGTAGGGTGTTTCAAAAAAAAAAAAAAAACGAGAAACGAGTATTTACATTCTGTGGTGTCCTCTGCAGGTGTGCAATCTCCAGTTTATCAATCTCGGTGGATCCAAGAGACACCATGAGCTCTTCTGCAAGCAGAGGTAAGGGTAATTCAAGGTAGATAAAACGCCAGACCACGTTCCGCGCAACAAGATTCGCGATATCTCACGGAGCACCGCGTCATTTTGTTTTGTCAGGTCTTTTCCCCACCCTGGAAGACCTCGATCCGGGCCGGAAGAACGAGTCTTTGCCCCGCGTCAAGGCCAAGTATTCCAGGTAACTCTAAGAGCAATGTGCCACCGGCCTATTGCCGTCTCATGATGAGCATTTGAAACTTTGGCTTGGGCTTTAAATGACTTCGTGACATTTTTGTGTTGGTGTTCTAGCTACGCGGAGCTACTGCAGACGCACGTAGACCTGCTCACCGAAGACTTCATCAGTGCCCTCAGCGAGCAAGTTAACAACCTTCGCGCGAACCCTTCTCTCTTGGACTCGTCGGCATGCTACACCGTCACGGGACGGTATGTTCATCAGGAACGCTCAAAACAGGTAGGAGAACGTGCACACTGCCAACCGAACAATCGACTTGGTTCATACACTGTCATCTTTTGACGCTAAATTTTGGTGTTCCCTGAGAACTTTTAAAATCAGCGTCGTATGGTGCTAAAAATTTTATATTCTTTTGCACAAGATGCCAGATTATGGCGTCTACAGGCGCCAACATTTGGTGCCTGTGGCGGTCCTTGAACGTCAATATCTTAGCGTCTAAAGACGCAAACCAAATTTTAGTTAATTCAATTAAGTTTTTCTTAGATTTATCACAGGAACTTTGCATGATCTTGTAAACTGCTTCGGGTTGAGCAAACTGACGAAATTTCTGTCCTTAGGACATCTATCTGTCACTTATGAGGAGAGAACACAATCGAAATTTGTCCTCCGTAACAATCATTTTTTTTCTGTCGTTGCGTGTAAATCCGTTTCCTCGATACGGACGTAGTTGTTCTCTTACATCTAGAGTGTGGGTTAGGGCTACTAATACGCTACTAATACACCGACGCCCCCCTCCACACCATTTCACCTCCTTTCTTTGCCCCCAGTCCCCTCGCCAGACTGCTGCTAGATGACGTTTCAGTTCAGTCAGCGCGTCTTCAGTCAAATCCGCCTTTTCCACTAAATTAAAACTTTTCAGAAAATTACAGTACGCGCAATATGTTTAACACCGTATCTTCCTAACAGACTGCAGGTATATACTGTGTACCGTCATGTTAGATAGCCCCGACTCGGCCGCTCGCTTATCCCCCAACCTGTCGAGATTCTGGAACCACGGGTCCCTATGCTGGCAGACCCTCGTGTCCCTAATGTCTCTCACTCCACCGTGCGAGGGGTAAACAACTCGGCTGATCCGGGGACAGATGAATATATTACGAAGTAATATCGAGAATACAGGTAATACAAATATTACGAGTAATACAACTACTATCAACATATTACAAGTATTATAAGGTATTACAAGGAACACAAGGAATACAAGGAATACATAGTAATACAAATCATATTAAGTATTACAAAGTAATACAATGTAATATAACGTAACATAAAATAATATACACGCCTTTTTTGAGCAGAGACTATTTCTGTGTTTCTGATGAACAAGTGAGCCAGGCCCTTTAAAAAGCGCGCCCCAAGAGACTGTAGTTGACATTGAACCTAGCACAACACTTATTCGAATACTTCCTGTGCTTCCCTCCGGCAGGTTTACTTCCGCTACTTCATGTTTTTCTTCTCTCTTCATTTAATTATGACAACAAGAATGCCATCCCACTTTTTCATACTGATCAGGCGAATAACGGTTTTCGAAAATTGAAAGCATTGAATTAGGAGACTATCTTGCTGTAAGAAACGTGTTGTCAATTCAGTGATCTGGTTATTTGCACGAGCAGGAAAAATGTAATGTTAAATGCGTTAGCTAAAGAACATTTTTGTTTTGAATAGCCCCGAATGGGTCGAAATGACGAAGGAGTGGGGGGCCAGCTAGCAAGGCGGATCGCGAACCGCCGACGTCCTTTGTAGAGGTATAGTCGTGGGTTGCCCGCACTGTTTTTCAACGAATGTGACGTCACATTCGTTTCAATGTTAATCGTGTCACGTTCGTTTGAATGTTGTGTCATATTCGTTTAAACGTGAATCAGCCAAGCCTGGGCGCCATTAGAGCATCACCTCACCTGAAGTCACGTTTAAATGAATGTGACACAATATTCAAACGAATGTGACATGTTTCACATTAAAACGAATGTGACGTCACATTCCTTGAATAACAGTGCGCCCTGCATCGGGCCCCCGCTTCTTGGTCATTCCGACCCATTCGGAGCTAAAAGGTATTTGAGAGCTGGAAGTTAAGAAGTAAAATGGAAGAACAAAACGCGCACTGCGCCTATGAGCACACGCTAGACCTGTTCCCAAAAACGCCTTTTTTGAAAATCGACCGGGACCGCTCGAATTTTTGTTGCAAATAATTCAAAGCTTAACGCCCTTAAACCGTTTTGAGGAAGGACAACGCTAACCCGTGCCGCAAAGCAGTTCTTCTTTGTGTTTTCTCATTAAAACACGATATTACTAAATCAGCTGCCGTTTTTTAACGCTTAGGCCGATTTTGATGCCCTTTGCATGGTATGTTTGTTTTACACACTGGTAAGTCCCTGCAAAGTCCCCCCGCTGTAGCCCCAATACTTTAGGAGATATAGCCATTCAAAGTTTTGGTCAATTTTACACTTTTCCCAGAAATCACTAAATTTGCAGTTGGAGGTAAGACATCGACCACTTTGGCTCCTAAAAATCCGAACCAGCAATGTTTCGATGCGAAATTTTCTCAGGATTCCAAATATGCCCCCGTCAGTGCTGTAGCTCTTAGCGTTTCTATGTCAAATCGATGAAAAGAGTAGTAAGGTACGGGAATCACTAGGGCTTAAGAGCAGCGGTTGTAAAAAGCAGTCCGACAAAAAATGTTATAAAACAAAAGTTGTGGAAAAATGTTAGCTCTTTTACTTTTGTCTTATAACATTTTTTGTGGGACTGCATTTTACAAAGGCTGCTGTTAAGGTAATGCTTGGGTAAAACTGGAAAAGTCGGGTGAAAAACAGAGTTTTTTTAGTTTTAAATCTACATGCTAGTGAAATCAAGAAAAAGCTCTATATTATTCTAAGTTAGTTCGTTGCGGATCTTTTAACATATAAGTCTACAGTTAGACATAACACAGTGGGCAAAAACTATTTTGAAGTTATAATTTTTTTATGAAATTTCAAAAATAGCTCTTGCGCACAGTGTTATGTCCAACTATAGACCTATTATATGTTAAAAGAACCGCGACAATCTAATTTAGAATAATATAGAGAGCTTTTACTTGATTTCACTCGCATAAAGATTTTAAACTAAAAAAGCACTGCTTTTTGCCCGACTTTTCCAGTTTCACCCAAGCCTTACCTTAAGCCCTACACTGAAAATAAAAGTTGGAATTTTCCAATAAAATTCTGTCCGAATAGTTTGGAAACGCGATTTTCCAAACAGTTATCGCGAATTTTCGAAACAGTTGTTGGAAAACAAAATTTCCAGTCCTCTTTTTCGAAAGTTCCGAACAATTTGGAACAGCAAAAGAGGAACCATTTCACACCAGAACCAAGTTTAGAAGCATCAAAAATGACTATTTGCCAATATAATCAAAAATGTTAGTCAATTGTTTTTGAAAGATCTCTAAAAAGTTTCGAAATTTCCAAATAGTTCGGGGAATTGTGTTTCCAAACTGTTTGGATTTCAAATTTTCCAAACTGTTCGGGCTGCAAATTTTCTAGTTCATTGTCTGGAAATTTCCAACAAAACCTTTTACAGTGTAGTGCACGGTAAAAAAATCCAGCGTGAATTTTACCGACCCGGCGTGGCAACGCACCTGAACACGCGCTGGGCTGGGAATTTACATGCCCACATGGTCTGTGAATTCCCGGCCCAACCACCCGCGAAGTTACCAGCCCAGTGGGCAGGGAAGGTTGTCATTACAAGCCCAAACTGTAAATTCACTACGTGGGCTGGAAAGGAGCCTTTGCTGGCCACCAATCTGCAAAAATGCACGTCGCGCTAGCAGATCTGTCTTTCTTGCCCACCAACTGCGAATTCCCAGCCCGCGGAGTGTTCTGCTGCGTTGCCACACAAGGAGAGTGGAAATTTGCGAGCGAAGCGAGAATGCTCAGGGCATATGTCGAGTGCGAGTTCCACCGGAGCCACCGCTTCCACTTTCTGGATGCTACAGTCCTAAGGGACTGTTTAAGCATTCGCCAACATTTACTATCAGCTCAGAAAAAATTAACGCCGTTGGTGTCATTGGGCATGTTAAAACAACAACTCATGCAGTTGCCGTGATGAAAGTGACTTTACACGTGGGCGCAATGCGAAGTGACGAGGAGAGCAGTACCGTACTGAACAAGGCATCGTTGCGGGGACCTTCCGAGCGCTAGCATTTAACATAGTTTTTCTAGAATATGATTGACTTTCGGAACAAATGCCGATCGTCGTCGGTTAGGTTGGTTCCTCATAAAACATACCACGTAAAATTAAAAGGCACTTTGCAAAGGAATTTTAAATTAAACGCGATTAACTAGGTTTTTATGAGATGCGATCACTGCAACGCCATCTGGCGGCAGTTGATCGCAATGCAGAATCCTTGTGGAAGTTTTGCCCGGTTTTGCCGGATTGTGACAGAGCTTAACAGGCAAGCACATCATTTCTTTGAGTGCCGCTGCAGCTTTTAAGACCTGTTGTGCCGATTTCCGTTCAACCGAAATCTCTCCTGAATTTTACCGTCCGTGGGCTGGAAAGATTACTTTTCCCACCCATCACGGTGAAATCTCCTGTCCAGGGAGAGGAAATTTGCAGCGGTATAGGGAAATCCCCTTCCAGGTGGTTGCGAAAGTAAGCTTTCCAGCCCACTCCTTGTGAAATTACCTCTGAGGTGGGCAGGTAATGCAGCCTTTCTCAACCCAAACGGTAAATTTGCTACCAGGGCTTGAAATTTACTGGCCAATGTTGCCTGTAAATTCACTTGCGTGGGCTTGTAAGTGGCTCTTTACCAGCCCACTGGGCATGTAAAGGCTACTTTACAGCCCAAACAGTAAATTTCCAATCCATGTGTTGCGAATTCCCAGCCCACTGAACTGTAAAATTACTAATATTTTTTACAGTGTGATTCCCGTACATTTCCCCTCCTAAACGTGGCGGTAGCGCCTAAACGGCTTCAGATAAAGCAAAACGGACGAAACATTTGTCCATAGGGCCGCAACACTGTTAAAAAAAATCCTGGGATTTCACGGAGGAACAGTCGTGAAAAGTATTGCCAAAGTCCTTTGGGATTTTCCAAAGAACTTTGTAGATTTCACGTGTCGAGTTTAGCTTCGTTACATGTAGACGAATGAAAACTTTCACCTTTTAAAATCTGTTTTAGTACACAAAAAACTAAGAACGGAGTCCTCTGGGAATTTCTTTTAGTGGTAGAAAGTGAATCTTCGGGAATTCCCAAGAAATTTTTAACAGTGAATTTGACAAGTTACTCCTTAGGAAGTATTCTTGAAAATTATAAACAATAGCCGAAATAGCAGCTTTTGGAACGAATGCCCAAAGTAACCCCTCAATATGAATTTGAGCAAAAAGTTTTGATGTGCCCTTCGATGACACACTTAGACCAACAATTTTCCAAAGTAGAATGAAAATCGGGAATTTACACTTGGCGGGGTTCCCTTGTTAGTTATATTTTGGGGGCGTCATGCTGATAATACTGCTTGCATGAAGCCTCGTTTCGTGCGATTATTGTGTAAAAACCTGCTTCCAATTTAAAAATATTTCTGTTTTTCGATTTTAGGTCGAGTTTAAACTTATTTAAGATATAAATTACACGGAATATCGATATTCGACCATTTTGGGTCCGGTCTGGTCCGTTTTCGTCACCTACACTACTCTTTCGTCGATTTGACATGGAACGCTTTGAGCTACAGCACTGACGAGGGCAGGTTTGGAATCCTGAGAAAATTTCGCATCGAATCGTTGCTGGTTCGGATTTTTAGGAGCCAAAGGGGTCGATGTTTTAATTACAACTGCAAATTTAGTGATTTCTGGGAAAAGTGTAAAATTGACCTAAACTTTGAGTGGCTATATCTCCTAAAGTATTGGAGCTACAGCGGGGGACTTTGAGGCAAATTTTTGCATAGAAATGGTCCACATATGTGCCCAACTCGCCTTTATCGCCTTTATGATCAAAAATTTCCGTTTGCTCCCCGGTGTGCATTAGGGTGTTTCAAAAAAAATTAATTTTTACCAGTCGCCGATTTTTAGGTGCGTCTAGGTCGTCTGATTCCAACGCCGTCCCCCCCGTTGTCCTACGACATCGTTTACCCACTGCGCAACGCATTTGAAACTTTCAGCCGCGTCAAGGGCCCCCACCTCCTCGCTCCTTCTCGCGCCACTGTAACGCCGCGGGTACTAGTATCGATATGAAAATTTCAGGGTATGTTCTGAATGGCTATCTTTAGACAACGGAAGGGTCGCGGCTGCAGTGGGCCGCACCCAACCCCGTACACTGTAAAGAAATTGGCTGACTACAAATTGTGAGGGGGGTGGGGGAGGATTGATCGCAGAAAAAAATCGCGAGTACCTGCATGAAGCCTTACCCATCCCCGAAGTCATCGACCACTCTGACCACTAAGCGCACTAGATCTGTGGGCGCTAGAGACCCGAATCGCGCCGGGCGGACGTTTGGATGCAGCGCGCAGCTCAGAGATCTGGCGCGGCACGGCACGGACCGGCCGCCCAGTCCGGCGCGCTCAGCGCGCATTGGCCGGCTCGCCGGTCCGTGCCGTGCCGCGCAAGGTGAGCAAGGCGGCGCGCGGTATCAAACAGCGCGGAGCGGCTGAAATTTTCACACACGTTGCGCAGTGGGTAAACGATGTCGTAGAACAACGGGGGGCACGGCGTTGGAATCAGACGATCAATACGCACCTAATAATCGACGACTCGTCGAAATCAATTTTTTTTTAAACACCCTAGTGTGCATCGGTTTCTTAATTGAACAATTTGATCGCATTCACTGCACTGTTAAAAAATCCTGCAAACTGCAAAGCATCATTTTGTAATTGCAAAGTGAATGCTTCATAGCTTCAAAGGATCTAATTAGATCTAATTATATCTAATTAGAAGTATTTAAATACTTCGCAGTTCGCGTTGCTTTTGCAGGAATAACACTGTGACGTGCGATCCGTTTGAAAATATTTTAAGGAAAGGAACAGGCACTAACGTGTTACGGACGTCAACAGGCTGGATTGGAGTTTACCTTCAATCCGTCTCGCTACAACCACGTGAAGTGGGAGGAGGAGCGTCGTTTTCTCACCGGCAACCTGGTGCTGCTGACCCAGTCTAACCTCAAGGACTTCATCGTGGGCGTGGTGCACGACAGCCGGCCGCAGCAGCTCCGCCAGGGGCGCGTCGTGATCAAGCTCATCAGGGGCGTGAACGAGGATGGCAGCTTCTGGTCGTGTGACCACGAACCCTATGTGAAGCAGACATTTAAGGTAAGGAGAACCAGCTGCCGATTATACGTAACACAGATATATTTAAGTTTTGTCATGCGCATTGAAAAATTTCTGTATCATACACTGTGAAAAATAGTAGTAAGGGTTACGGGAAAATTTTCCATGATAAAAGTCGTAAAATTACAATTTGAAATTGAAAATTTACCAGCACTCCCTATCGACATGGAATCGACCGACGAGCAAGAGTGGTCTGTCGTAAATTTACGACTCATTTTGTAAATGAAAATCACAACAAATTTCGTAAACATACGTGTATTTTTTCACAGTGTGGGTAATCTAACCAGACCACACCCACAGCAAATGCGCTACACGCATGTAGAATTTCCCCCACAGTCGTTTGTCGTTTAAGGAAAAGTCCCGTAGTGCAAATTTGCTTCATTTACATTTCTGCGTTGTTTATAGGAATGGTCCAACACATCATTTACAGTTTTACACTCACGTGTTTTTTTTAAAATATTGTTTTCAATTTGAAAGAAGCCATTTTGCCGTTGTAATATACGTATCTAGTACGTATCTTAAATGTTATAAATTAGCCACACCCAGATAACGGCATTCTTGCTTTTACATGGTTGCCACAAGTCTGGAAAACCTTGAAAACCGGGAAAACTCAAGGAAATAAAAAACTGTCAGGGAAATCAGGGAAAACTCAGGGAAAATGAAAAAAAGTCAGGGAAATTTGGTCTGACTGGTCCCCAAACTGCAGTCTATTCGTCGTTTAGGTCAAATACACATTTTGACGTCCCAGTAGGGTGTTTTGTCCCAAAAGTTTTCGCGCTCGCTTCGCTCGCGGTCTTTGTATTACAGTTGGGGGTATTTGTTTGCCCCAGTACTTCACCAGGAACGGTGCTTACAACTCAGGGAAATTCGGCGCAAAATGGTCTGGAAATCAGGGAAAACTCAGGGAAAATGGAAATGAAAATTTTGTGGCAACCATGTAAATTTTAGCATGTCATACTAATGACTCTACTCAGAAACTCTAAAAAACATACTAATTCTTAGAAGGTGAACATACTATTTCAAAACTCTTAACTCACATATTAATGACGCTGCTTGGCCTGCCGGCGGCAACGATCGCTTCGTAAGAACAATCATATAATAGAGCGGGCCGAAGGCCCGCCGAAACCCCTCGTCTTTAAATTTGCCCCGTAGACATAAGAAAAGAATTTAACGGTGACGCACCGTGACTACAACGCACCCTTCTGCTTAAAAAAACATCTTTTTTAAAGGGGGGAGGGTTAGTTTTTCCCATATTGCAATTTGAGGCCTTCTTCAACAACTTAATGTTTACTACAGAAATTTTTAGCTTATTTACGCTTATTTATGTCAAACAAGCAGGCCCGCCCTTCTGCCAAACGAAGTTGCCAGCTCCGCTTCGCTCCGCCGGCTACTCCGTTCGGCAGGGGCCGGGCCTGCTTGGCCTGCCGGCGGCGGTTAGGGGACCATTTCTGTCACGCGATTTGCTGAAGAGCATGATCGAATGATGTAGCGGGCCTTCGGCCTGCTTAAACCCGTCGTCTTTGAGTTTGCCCCAAAGACTCGAGAAAGGGATGCAACGGTGAAGCACCGCGACTACAACCCACCCTTCTGCTTAGAAACCGTTTTTTGGGGTTGGGGGAGGGTTTCTATTCTATTTTGAGGTTTTTGGGCCTTTCTCTACAACGTTTTGTTCACTATGGCAATTTTTAGCTTATTTTCGTCAAAAAAGACTATCTAGCGCCGAAACGGTTAGAGATAGAGCGAAACGGACGAAATTGTCGCCCAGAGGGCTCTGCTTCGACGAGTTACCCCTCAGGAGAACTTAAAACAAAAAAATACTTTTTTTGAGAATCTTTGAACCTTGGATACCCCCATTCACACCCTTAGGAGTGGTTGCTAGGATTTGCCGTAGGCGTTTCGTTCTCTAGGAGTGGACCTTAAGATACCCAGAAAATCTCAAGTCTCTAGCACATCTCCTTCTAGTGGAACAGACAGACACGGGGTCCTTTGCATAAGCCCGCTGGATATCTTTTTCAAAGCAGAAGGGCTGGCTAAAAACTATGTCATTCAGCCTGAGACCCCCCCCCCTCCCCCCTGTCATCGACCGTAACTTTTTTGCCAACCCCCTTCCCCTCCTCCACCTATTACGTAATTTGTGCACGCCGCCTTTGATACCCCCATTCACACCCTTTGGGGTGGTTGTCCGGATTTGCCGTAGGCGTTTCGTTCTGTAAGAGTGAACCTTAGGGATCGTACCCAAACCACGTGACGCATTCTGGGGGTGGTTGGGGGTCTGTGAAAACACCACTCACCACCACCAGGGGGGAGGGAGGTGTTTCGGCCAAGTCACGTGACTATTAATTTCCTATTTAAAGAAGCATGTTTTTGAAAAAGACTAACACAAATCCGTTTATTATGTGATAAATCACTGAAATCTGACGGTGTTTAATCGAAAAGTCACCACTAAATTAAGTTTTGAATATCAGCAAACACGCACTTTTTGTTAAAATGCTGTGTAAAGTAGTGAATACGTCCAATAACACACATGCTGAAAACCACGTGAAAATGGAGGGGGGGGG